TGCCCCAATTATTGCATTCCAAGATACAATATCTTTCGAAGCCATGGAATCGAAAAGTTTAAAAGCAAAATTGACTTCTCCACAGTTTCCATACATGTTAATCAGAGTACTCTCTAAGAATTTGTTCATCTCAATACTAGTTCTCACTAAGACACCATGGATCTGCTTTCCATACTCTAAAGAGTCAATATTTGAAACCACTGAGAGTATAGATTCCATCGTTGACTGGTCTGGAGTCTGGTTCGACCATATCATTTTGCTAAACAGCTCCAAAGCTTGATCTGAATAACCATTTTTAGAATAGCAAGCTATCATTGAACACCATGAGCTTGTATACTTTACAGAGATGGCATCAAAGACTTCTCTTGCAGCCTCTAAATCGTTGAATCCTGAATAAATATCAATAATGGCAGAGCCTACATAGCTATCATAAATATACCCATTTCTTTTCAAATAGCCATGGATGAGCTTTACCTGTTCTCTCTCTGTTACATGAGCAAAAACAGGCAATAGAACTGATATACATGAGGAATCTGGTCTTATGCTTGCAAGTTCTAAATGCTCAATCAGTTTTAACACAGATTGAACAGATCCTCTCTCTAAAAACTGTGTAACTATGCATTGCCAGGATACCCAGTTGGGGTTCATTCCATTTTCAACCATTTGAAGAAATAATCTTAGGGACTCATGACAGAGGCCTTTTTGAGAGTAACCCTGGATCATAGCAGTCCAAGAGACAATATCTCTCTCTATAATTCTATCAAATATATATCTGGCACACTCAATGCTCCCACATTTGGAATACATATCGATAAGAGAGCTTCCTACAAATTTGTCAAACCCAAAACCACTTGCTATTATCAGGCCATGAACCTGCTTTCCTTGCTCAAGAAAACCCATATCTGCAAAAACCGGCAAAATGCTTGCCATAGCAGCCGAGTTTTGTTTTGTTTCTCTCTCTAGCATCTCTCTAAAAATATCAAGTGCCGCAGTGCAATTACCACTTTGAACATAGCTAGTAATCATGGTGGTCCATGTGAAAGTGTCTCTTTCTATCATCTCATTGTATACTAATCGTGCATCGACGATGCTTCCGCACTTTGCATACATATCTATAACTGAATTATGTATAACCGGGTCCCATAAGAACCCACTCTTTATATAATCAGAGTGCACCCTCTTTCCCTGCTCTAAAGCTCTCATGGCTCCACAGGCCTTAAACACAGATGGGTAAAGGAAGTTATCAGCTCTAAGCCCTGTCGAAACCATTTCGATAAATAAATGATAAGCTTCTTCTGAATTCCCACTATTACAATAAGCTCCAATCATGGTGGTCCAAGAAAATATGTTCCTTTCCCTCATTTTATCGAACATTTTGCGAGCTTCCTCGAGATTCCCACCCTTTGAATAAAAGATTGTGAGATTGTTTTGTAAAACTATGTTTGGTTCTATCATGTTATTGATGATGTGTTTATGAATTTCACAACCATGGGTGAAAGCTTTGAGTCTTGTGCATGCTCTTATGAGAGAAAGGTAGGATTCAGAGCTTACCTTAGAGCCATTAATGGTGGTTTGGTGAAGCAGGTTAATGGCTTCGTTTAAATGGCCTTTGATGGATAAGTGGTGGAGTTTCTCTGTGAGCGATGGGTGGTGATGCCATGGTGAGAGATGGATAGCTCTTTTGTAGAGATGTATCCTCGTCATAGGTGGGCCATGAGAGAGAAAGGGGAGAGTGGGTTTTGGAGGGAAGACTGGAGGATCGACGCTGAGTGACATGAAGAGAGAGAGAGACGCTCACAAGTTCATTTGGGTCCTTTTTGGATTTGTGTGTGCGTTTGAGAGAGAATTTTAAAAATTTGAAAAAGAGCCGTTGGGAAGATAAGAGGTGGCGGGAACTGGTCACCGTTTAAATGAATGAATGGAAAAGTTTGTATAAGGCCGAGGTCCTAAACAATCAAATTACGGTGCATCTCAAAAATTTCATTAAAAGAGTTGTTTTTATGCCCAAAAATCACCAAATCGATCATATTAACCTCAAGATGCACAGACATGAGAAAATGGATTTCAAGCTTTGAAAATAGTGCATCTTGTAATGTATTTTTGAACTGCAAATTTTTAGGACTTTCGAGTGTTTAATATCGAAAGATGCCTTTTCAATACTGGAAATCTTTGTGTTGGCTTAGAAATTTATTTTCATCTCTAATTATAAAAGTGTAATGATCCTATAAGATCTTCCCACACCCATGTGTGCAAATGATCACTATTAAATTTGACACAGATCTCT